CCCACCGCCCACTGCCCACCCCCTTCCTCCTTTTCCTTTTTGTACACCCTCTCTCATTAAATAATGAGTGCCCAAATCCTTCTTCAGAAAAAAAACAGTCACAGATGCATTTGTGGCTTGTGCTTTTCCCAGGTGAATCATCAAACTTTGGCTTAACGAACCTCCACTGATTGAGATCTTTGCCTCAGTCACTTAATTCTGAGCTGTCATAAGGGACCCAGTGTCATGACATGATTATTCTTTCACAGCTAAAAAAGTAAGCAAGGGGCCGATGAAACAAATTCAGCAACAGCTCCCAAAGGAAGCAGAAAAACATGTATCATATCCTTCAAAGATGACAGAGAAAGATGTGGGGTATTCCAGTGTGAAGAGCTAACCCTCACTCTCAGTCCCCTGAAGTGACATTGAGCAAAGAAAATAAACCCAAAATATCTTGAAAATTCTCACAAATACCCTACATTTAAAGAAGAGACACACTGAAAAGACAAAATTGGCTAGTATGGGCAAATTTTAAGGAAAAAATCCTAAGAATAAAAGCACAAATATAAAATCAGTGTAGAGGCAAGAAGGTCCGCCTGGTTTGGCTATGTCCAGGTAACAAAGATGATCTCAGGAAAGAAAACAAAGAGACATGCAAACCACCATGGGTGTGGGTGCTGGTGCTGAGAGCAGAGCTCAGTTCCCCAGTGAGAGCTCCACTCATCCCAGAGGGGTTGGCCCTGTGGTCCCCGCCACTGAACATTTGCAGTCTAGATTGAAAGCACCAGGTTTTCATTTGAACTACAGTTCTCAGGGAGTGAGAGAAGTTGACAATGACAACAAGAATAAATCCCACACATTATATTCAGAAATCAGTTTCTGAGATGAGCAGCACCTTTATCCATTTCAGTGTCAAAATTATGTTCAGGAGTATGTGGAACAGGTTATTGTATTTCATTTTAATTTTTGGCATTTGCAAAAAGTTTTATATACTACTATATCAAATGCAAGTAATCAATAATGGATTAATCAATGATAATTCTATCTAAGCATTTCCCTACTTGGATCATTATATCTATAATGATAATCCCCTGCCCATCAATTTATCAATACTTACATTGCTATTTTAAATAAAACTAAATTAGATACCGGGTCAACATAACTCTGATTTAGCAGAACTTCACTGGAAGATATTATTCAAGCTCCCTTCTTCTCTCTAGCTTTTTGGTAATATTATTTTTGAATGTAATTTTGACATTTAAAGGAAAAATAGTAATGTGATATATGTAAATATCTGTGAATAAATAAATAGCATACACGAGTATGAATATATCTATGAATAATAAGCCTTATTCATCTCAGTCAAATTGTTTGGCTTACATTATCAGTAAGGAGACTGTATGAGATCACCAACAAAATAAGCATAACTGGTTAGAAATTGAAAAATTGAGCCCTCAGTCTGATATTTCCAGCTTAGGAAGAAGAGGAAAAAGTAGCAAGGGAGACTGAGAAGTGGTGCCCAGGGAATAAGGATAAAAACCAGGAGAGGGCAGCGTCTCGGAGAGCGAATACACTTTGTTCAACACTGCTGATAGCTCATGGATGTGAACACTGACCATTAGCAACACAGACTCACTGGTGATCTCGCAAAGATCAGATTCAGTGAGGCAACAGCCTCACTGGAGTGGGTTCATAAGCCAATAGCTGAAGGGGCTTCATAGTTTGATCAACACTGTAAACCAAGTAGAAAGTAAGAGCTGAAAAGTTAACTCCTGAAGTCAGTCTGTGAAGTAGAAAATCAAAATCCCTCAGCCAGTTCTTAGGACTGAGCCAATTCAGATGAGAGAGTTCAGAGACTAAAGGGAAGTGTAAATCCCCTTGATAATTCACAGGAGTATTCAGGGTGTATTCATATGATGCTTTCTCCAAGACCTGTAGCCATTCACCAGATCACAGTGCCCAGAGGAAAGGGCATGCATTCATTTTCTCTGGGACTTTCAGGTGTGGGACCTGAACTAGCACTAATAACTGGGTACTCAAAAACACACTGCAGTCCATTGGATGGAGTGAGAGTTTTTGAACATCAGATGTTACCATAGAGCTTGGTCTGATGTCTATCCAAGGGCGGACTTAATGCATTTGTAGTTATTTATCTCTTCCTGAATGTATAATCGAAATGGAAGGGTTTGGCAGCCGGCAGGCAGAACTCTCACATTTCAAGTGGAACCCAGAACAAGGAAGGGTTCTAATGTAGATACAGGGTGTGGTCCAAGGTGCTCTGCCCACTGTGCCAGATGATTCAGCAGATTCGAAGCTGCTAGAGGCATGGATAGTGGGCATTACAGGATGCTGTTCACGTCTCTGACAAACCCATAAGAGAGGGGGAAAGCAAACCCCTAGTGATTTAGTGCAAGACCATCCCCTCTTCAGCAGAGAGTACCCTCAGTCTGAAAAACAAAGCAGCAAGTGCCGAGGATTAAAGCAAGCACAGAGCCCCTCTAAGCACAAGGCCCTGTGCAACTGCACGAGTTATATACTTATAAATCCAGCCACTATTGGAGGGCACAAGTACACCAGAGTGGCACAAGGAGTGGACTGTATTGGACACAAACTTGTGTGCTTCCTCAGATTCCATTGGCCATTTCCTATGCTGTTGGTCAGCACCTTGCCTGGTCCAGATCACCTTTGCATTTTGGACCAAATGGAATGCCACACTGTGGGCATGAGACCTGACTTGCTAAATGGCCACCAAGGAGCTGGATGATGTAAGGCAGAAAACCAAAGTTGTTACTTCAGGTAAACCCTGGCCAGCGGGAAATAGAAGACAGAAGAGAGCCAAGAAGATATATTCCCACTCCTCTATTCCATGGACTAATGCTAGATGTGGTTTCCCCTTGTATCCCTTCTGGAAAAGCCCCGGGGAGTAAGTGCGCACATACCATGGCCACCATGTTGTTACCTCATTGTGAAGTGGCCACCAGCAGAGTCATACATCACATCACACTGTGTCACATCTTCTCTTGCCTTAATTTCCACATCTCCCCCATTGCTGCCCTGTACTTGCCTTCCCAAATAAATGTCATCACTTTGCTCTCAGATACTGGCTCTGGTTTTCAAAGCTTGAGGCTAAGATGTTCATTCAGTTGTACAATTATTATTTATTCGCTTTTCTGTGAGTTTATAATATAGCAATGAAAAAGTTCATTTAGAAAGGATACTGAAAAAATGTTATATAAAAATAACAGCAGCTAGTTCCTAAGTCAATTTTTAAAAAATCAAATGCCATTTTTGTATGTAATAGCCAGCTATAAAATATCACAATAAAGACATATCATTCACAATATAGAAATGAAAACATATCAAAATATTTTATATGCTTTTCAAAAACTCTTGTAAGAGGTTCAGTCTAGTTTTGAT